AGAGTTGATGGTCAAGGTCTTATAACATTTCCAGATGGAACACACGGAAGACCTCGACAAGAAGGGTATTTCATGGGCACAGAACTTGTTGAAAGACAGCGAGTGATCGACTCTGTTACGAAAGCGCAACAGGCGACGAAGACTGCTAGAAGCATCAAGTTTTGAGAAGAACCTGTTGATACAATCTCTGAGACATTACGCATATGACTTATATTCGTAACATTTATATTTATGTATTTTATTTTAACTCCAGATGGCTGAGGAAAAACAGGCGCACCATCATGTTAAACATATTCCAACTTTTTTTAATTCAGAATGTTGATTTTTGTAGAGAGGGGGTATTTCTAGAATTTTCGACAGAGCTATGGGCATTACAATTATTAACCATTATTACTAAGCCCTACTTTTGGTCAAGCGTGAATAAATAATCTGTCCACAACGGCCGCCTTGAAGAGAGAAGTAGGAGACTACTGTATTTTTTTAGGGGGGTGGGGGGTGGGGATGGGTTGGTATGGTGTGACAACATAGGGAGGAGAAATGTGAAGTATTTTTATTTCATAAAACTTCTCTTATAAACTACATCAATAAAGACAAAAACCGAGGGCTCAGGACAAAAATTTTAAAAAACCAAAGTGAATGAGATGAAGTGGATATGTAACCGTAAGAAAACAGCCCAGATCTGGGTAGTGACGCGTTATCAGTATGGAATTTCTGTGCTTGTTTCTCAGACGTCATTTGGTGGGGAAACGAGTGGTAGTGTCACCAAATGTCGGCTGTTTTCTCAGGCTGGTGGGTATGTTGTGGTTTAATTTTATCCTTGACTTATGATGATTTGTCCTCAACTTATTAACACACATAGCGACATCCCAAATTAAAGGAAAACAGAATTTAAACCAAGTATAGAATTAAACCACAACAAATACCTTGTACTGTACATTGTTCGTTTGAAAGGCGTTTAGAGAGGTTATTTTGGCCACTGGGATGTGCTTCACTGGCAAATTCAATGGCAAAGGGGTGACTTTTGTAGAGAAGGAGATGTATTGGGTGGGGAGCGAAAACAAGGGGTGGGGGAAGCAGGTAAGGATGGACAATCTGAGAGTCACCAAAACTGAAGAAAAGTTCCTATTCAAGATGGACAGCACTAAGGCAGTACACCACACAAAATAACAACACCCTTTGACTGTGATAACTTTTATTTCTTCATTAACCAGTCAAGAATGTTAACCTTTCTGCTAAGATACCCTAAATCCACACTTAGAGTGGGTTACAGTTACTTCGTCATCAAGCCGATTCTCCAACAGTAGGGACTTTAAGATCCAACAACGCGAATGGCAACGAGAACGTCGCTTAAAAAATGAATTTCCGTTCCTTCAGTCTTTATAGAGATTACTGGGTACGTTTGTTGGGGAATTACTTGCTTGCATGTATGTGTTCTTTTAGTGGAGGGGGTGGGGAAGCAATATTATAAGAACCTCGGTTGGTGCTAACAGAGGATAAACTGATTTGATCAAGTCAGTTCAACAAAAGAGAAAAACATCACTACAAGCCATAAGTAAGAATCCTTTCATAAATTGGCCCTCTACAGTAAGAACAAGTTTCCAGAAAAGATGTGCACTTGAAACAAGTAATCTGATGACGGCAAGGAATGACCACACAGTTTGGTTTCTCAAGAGTACAGATGATGCAGTTATCCTTTTGAAACCACATTTCCTCGATCTCCTTTGCAGTGGACTTTAATATCTCTGCAACAGATTCACTGCTAACTTCCTGAGAAGCTAAAACAATCTGTGACAGTTTCTCAAACTTTGCAGCAAGCCTTCTTCGCAGAACATCACTCTTGTCAGCTAGAACACTCATTTGACGAGAATGCGATTTCTGTTTGTTACTTGCGTCTTCCTTTGCAGCTGTGAGTTTTTCTTGGATGAAGATTTTGTCTCTTTTAAGATCCGTGATTGTGTTTGAGAGCTCAGCCATTTCTTGGTGTAATTTTTGAATTGAAATCTTCCACCTTTCACTCNTCAAGATGGACAGCACTAAGGCAGTACACCACACAAAATAACAACACCCTTTGACTGTGATAACTTTTATTTCTTCATTAACCAGTCAAGAATGTTAACCTTTCTGCTAAGATACCCTAAATCCACACTTAGAGTGGGTTACAGTTACTTCGTCATCAAGCCGATTCTCCAACAGTAGGGACTTTAAGATCCAACAACGCGAATGGCAACGAGAACGTCGCTTAAAAAATGAATTTCCGTTCCTTCAGTCTTTATAGAGATTACTGGGTACGTTTGTTGGGGAATTACTTGCTTGCATGTATGTGTTCTTTTAGTGGAGGGGGTGGGGAAGCAATATTATAAGAACCTCGGTTGGTGCTAACAGAGGATAAACTGATTTGATCAAGTCAGTTCAACAAAAGAGAAAAACATCACTACAAGCCATAAGTAAGAATCCTTTCATAAATTGGCCCTCTACAGTAAGAACAAGTTTCCAGAAAAGATGTGCACTTGAAACAAGTAATCTGATGACGGCAAGGAATGACCACACAGTTTGGTTTCTCAAGAGTACAGATGATGCAGTTATCCTTTTGAAACCACATTTCCTCGATCTCCTTTGCAGTGGACTTTAATATCTCTGCAACAGATTCACTGCTAACTTCCTGAGAAGCTAAAACAATCTGTGACAGTTTCTCAAACTTTGCAGCAAGCCTTCTTCGCAGAACATCACTCTTGTCAGCTAGAACACTCATTTGACGAGAATGCGATTTCTGTTTGTTACTTGCGTCTTCCTTTGCAGCTGTGAGTTTTTCTTGGATGAAGATTTTGTCTCTTTTAAGATCCGTGATTGTGTTTGAGAGCTCAGCCATTTCTTGGTGTAATTTTTGAATTGAAATCTTCCACCTTTCACTCATTTCTTCTTCAATGTTGACAAGATTGACTTGTTGGGCAGCCACTTCTTTTTCCAGAGAGGAAATTTTGGACTGTAGTTTCCGCAGTTCTTGAGCATGTGTTTTGTCCTTTTGGAGGAGTTTTTCATTCAGAACATCTCTTTCTTCCTGAAATAAAGGTGAAAGAAAGGAAAATTAATCAAATACTCCCTAACAAGTTTTTAACCACTGTAGCCTGCTCTGGGTTTGAACCAATGACCTGTCTCACATGGAAGTCAGGCACCCTTCAACTGAGTCAAATGCTGGGTGGTGGTTTCGGAAAATTATGTATCTATACCATTGACAAGTACTTGTGAAGCTCTCTAAGTTCATTTCCCTTGGGGAACAGGAAAAGTGCCCAGAACTGCAGTCTAAGGAAAGTCCAAACAGCTTTCTATTATTGGAATGCTTATAGTAGACTAAGCTGTCTGCATTCACATTGTCCATGAAAAATATTTTTGAGTTGAAAAAGACGTTGAGCAGTTAACTCTAAACAACTTTGTAATCTACTAGTGAGGCAACCCCGCCAAGGGGATGGTTACTCTCTTATATAAGCCATATGTGGTCTGGAATCAGGTATGCTTTTAAGGGAACTATGGAAGTGTATGAAGGTACTTGTCATTTCAATTCCAAATGAATAACAAAGAAAAAGTAAATTATGCAAATTTGAAATTGATTTTAAGAAATCTTTTTGTCGGCATTCTAATCTAAGTAGTGATGACATACTGTCTTAGAGACCATGTCCGAAAGCAGGTATATATATGTGGATTTTAGAGGCCAGGGTCTGAAAACAGTTGTGGACAATGACATTTTTTGGTTTGAAAGAGTTGAATCAGGATTTGAAGAACCGGATGGTGCATCAAAACAAAGAATTACCAGGAGTTTCGCCTGGGGTCAACCTGGTAAACCTACCAGCAACATTATTTCTCTGTCCCTCAGCACTGAATGGTCCACTGCTTTTTCTGTAGACGAGTGTTTTTCATGAAAACTGCTACAAAATGGAGGGTTCAGCTTGCAAACTTGAGTTGATAAAGATGCGACAAGTCTGATTATGTTATGATTGCTGTGATCAGATGATGTTTTGCCAGCTGAAGGATTAAAAAAATATGTATATATGTAAGTCTGATAACTATTAATAACATTATAGCTGATTGCTAAGGGGGTTGGGAATGCTTTCACAAGTGTTTTGACTCCTTGAATTATTTAAGTAAAGAATCTTCAAAACCTCTGAGTAGGTTGAGTGGGTACTCGCCTAGCGGTGTTTTCCAAGAAGGGAGCATGGTTAGGGTGCAGGAGATAGAACAGGAAAGGACAAGCAGGCTGCAGGGAGGAGTACATAAAAATAACAGGACAGCTTTTAAACCTGGAAGGCAATACTGTAAATTGGAAACAGCTCTCAGAGGTAGAAGAAGCTGATCTAAGGTTGCAGGAACTACCAGGTTACTGGAAATGGAAACTGTATACAGTGTTGCAGTCTCACTCCTCCTCATCCATCAAGGACTCGTGGATACAGGAACCAATGAGGGGGGCCAGGTGTGCATATGACTGGGATACAGGAAGAAACAGTGACAGTATAATATATAGTGCAGGAAGGATTTAACAGGTAGGTGGAGGGGAGGGAGGGGATTTGTGTTAGGGAAATGCCCCCTGCACAGGTTTCTATGTTTAAATTTTACGTTGAATTAATTCACCATTTAAGTTAGGTTGGAGAGTTAAAATCTTTGCCGCAATCAAAGCTTCTCTACACAGACAGCTGTCACCTCTCCTACAGTTTTCTCCACCATAATGTTCTATTTTCTCTCTCAATAAACCTCTTGGAATCTCAAAATGATTGGAGTCCGTCAAGACAATAGCATTCCCACTGGCTTCAGAGATATCCATAGATCCCATTTTAAATTCTGGAATGCAAATTTGTACCAGCTTTTCAATATGCTTGAGGGTACTGACTTCGTCTTGCGTCAAGTCCGCATAAGGAACAATAACAGATTTCTTCATTGAGCTCCTTGACAAAATGGATTCCACTGGTTCTACTGCCCCTGATTTATACAGTATGTTAATTAATGCCTCATTGCATAAAACCAATTTTTGATGAATTTCTCGTTTGATCTCATCCAACAATTCAGTAGATATTGAGTTTGAAACAGGATATGTCATACTTCCATGAATGGCAAAGAACTGCTGAGCCACAAGTAAGGCAGATTTATCTGNTTGAATTAATTCACCATTTAAGTTAGGTTGGAGAGTTAAAATCTTTGCCGCAATCAAAGCTTCTCTACACAGACAGCTGTCACCTCTCCTACAGTTTTCTCCACCATAATGTTCTATTTTCTCTCTCAATAAACCTCTTGGAATCTCAAAATGATTGGAGTCCGTCAAGACAATAGCATTCCCACTGGCTTCAGAGATATCCATAGATCCCATTTTAAATTCTGGAATGCAAATTTGTACCAGCTTTTCAATATGCTTGAGGGTACTGACTTCGTCTTGCGTCAAGTCCGCATAAGGAACAATAACAGATTTCTTCATTGAGCTCCTTGACAAAATGGATTCCACTGGTTCTACTGCCCCTGATTTATACAGTATGTTAATTAATGCCTCATTGCATAAAACCAATTTTTGATGAATTTCTCGTTTGATCTCATCCAACAATTCAGTAGATATTGAGTTTGAAACAGGATATGTCATACTTCCATGAATGGCAAAGAACTGCTGAGCCACAAGTAAGGCAGATTTATCTGTTAGATAGAAGTTTGCATGTCGCACATCTGAGGTGTTGTTTTCTTCTAAGAGACTGTAGTATAATGGAATCAAATCTGGTCTTTGCTCAATTGCATGCACCCACATACTACTTACTTGGTGATCAATATCACTGAGGTGCACGACAGCTCTTCGATCTCTGTCGATCTTAAGATGGGCGAAGTTTACCCCTGATGAAAGACCATCCTTTGAGAGGTCTGACACCCAAACACCTTTGACATACAGTTGACCCTTGTAACGATCACCAATAAGCAAGGTGCCAATCTCTGACTTGACATAATCCGATGGTGGGCAGAGGAAAAGGAACCGCTCCAGATAAACTTTCCAATCTTTGAGACAAAGAGGACGAACAGTTACACAAGTGTCTTGCAGACCAAGGTCGTCATCACCATCGTCATCATCATCATCATCATCAAATCCTTTACTCCGATCCTTTACAAAAACAGTCAGAACCTCTTCGTTAAAAGTGTCATCGCACGACAGGCCAAACTTCCAGCGATCTCTACTGGTTTCCATGGAAACAGATCTCCCCTCCCTCACTAAGGCAAGAGCACCAACTTTCAGGCCTTCACCAAACTGACCAATCACTTCTTTGCTTGAAGCTTTCTTCGAAAATCCTAGAAGCAAGACCTTCCTCATAAGCTCAGTGTTGTAGTTTACCAGGATAAGTTTTTTGCGAAAGGGAGAATACACTATTTTACCCAGTACCACGTTTCGTTGCTGCTGGTCCCGTGTACTTTCGAACGTTCGATCAAACTCGCCATTGACAGATTCAAAATCATCTGAACTGCTATTTAACTTCGTCATTCCTTCATAAAAGAAAGAGTTTCTTGCTGTTGTGAGAACTGCTTTATACACTAACGAATCGCCCTGTTTGCAAGACAGGAAAGCAACCGAGGATCTTGGCAACATTTCCGTTCTGCAATCAAGCTGCATTTTCTCCAGTGAAGAAAACACTCCATCGTGCCAGTTTTGTACAAGCTCACGGATTCCTTCCCACGTTTTCCACGAAGGTGCATATTGAGAAGTAAGACTAAGACTCACAGACTTTTTCGAAGTTAAATTGCCGGCCATTCCCCACGGCCAAAATTCCTCTTTTGCGCTGCATGATGGGTAAGTGGCAAAGGTTGTGATGACATCATATCTAAATCGGCCTGATGAGGTAATACCCTCAAAATTGTTTCTTTTTATATAATTGCTATTTACTTATTTTTTGGTAACAAAAAATGCAAACCCAGATTCTGTATTCGAGGAGTTTCCAGTGGCTACTTATTTCACCGCTTTTAACCCCATCAAAGCAAAATATTCTTTTCACTCAATCAGCTGTTTGTGGTGGAAACTTTCAGTAGAGGAAGGGGGTTTAATTAGTTACAGCTGGTACACGCAGTACACTCTAGAGGAGCAGGTTGAGACTGGAGGCGAATCAATTCTCAAGATGTGGGGGATATGTTTGGTGACCAGGAGTCAAGACGGTCAGACTTTGAGGCATTGATGGGGGTGCCTTCCAATCTCCTTCTTGGGCCTAGTTAGCGGGGGCCCTGGTAGCAACGTTGGGTGCATCCTAGCCAGATTATCTAAGTGTGTTAGGTTAGTATTGATGGGTGCCTTATTTTAGAAACTGACTGGAATGAATTAAAGTGACAATGCTCTGAAAGTCAGATCTTTTAATTCTCAAATATCTAACAATACATTATAATAAATTAATGATGGAAAAAGCCTCTCTTTATAAACAAAGGCAATGGAAATGCTTTTAATATTAGAGCACCAAAAACCAATGAAGAGTACTATTTTTCAGCTATTTTGTTGGGAGAAAATGACAACCTTTTTTCCTGAAAAAAGATTCGTTAAAACCTTGTTTATGCATTTCGTAACACTAATCCAACCAGCTAGACGCTCATTCTATTTTTTTTGAAACTCCTGAAACGATAAATGAGTGTATGTTCTGGCAGGCTCAGCAAACAAATTCAAATGAAACTTTCAACAATAAATATTCATAAGCACGTCTGTAAAGAAGAGCTGGCCTGTCTTTATCACACAATAGCTGCATAAATAATTATTTATTATTATTTGTCATTGTTAATTATTATTGATTAAAATAGTATTATCATTATTAATATTATTATTATTGATTAATAATATTGTTATTATTGATTATTACTGGTTATTAATAATAATCAAAATAAGTTTAAAAGATCAAGACTGCACATAAAAAGATGTTTTTCTTGTGTGGGACAACCCTTTCAAAGGGGGATTAATTCAAACTGCTAAAAACCAATGTTTGAACTAACCAGGAGCCCATATATTTTAGAGTGGGTGACACTCAGGTTATTCATTAGGCATCGGAGATCGGAGAATTCTCCGATTACTATGCTGAATTCTCTGGCTAACATTTGGTAGCACATGACTATTTTTATTCAGACATGGAGCCTCTTACAAAATATTCTCCTGTGATATTACATCTTTCTGCTGCAGTACTGCTAAGTGGAATTCTTAATGAAAACCCTGTGACCCTTGACGATTCCAAGAAATTAAGGCCGTCTCTCCCCATTTTTCATTTTCAATTTCACATTCTTTACTTCCCACGTAAGCTTAGCCTGTTCCACGCTCCAAGATAGTGGTGAAAATTCTTTCAGTAAAAAGTAAATGCGAAAAATGCGTGCAGGCTGGGGAAGGCCACCACCCCCTTTCCCAAGTCGTGCACGTCTTATTTTCGCTTTGCTGAAAAAATTCAGGCTTGCCAGGATTCGATTCCTGACATACTAGGCAGTGGCAGATCCAGACCTTCAGATAAGGGGGGGGAACGGTCATCCAGACCCTGAGATAAGGGGGGGTGGTCTCCAAAAAAATTTTTTCGGCCTTTTGGGCCTCAGTTGGTCTAGACCCGCCACTTCTAGGTGCGATACCAGTGTAGCACTCTAACCAGTTGAGCTAGAAAGCCAGCGGAGAGCTGGTCATAAAATGGTTGGTAATATACCTGGTAAAGGTGAAGAAGAAGTAATGAATATATGAATATTTCATACACTTGAACCACAGAATGAAGAAATTACTGTAAGGGAGATCCTCACAGCTTAAGTCGTGACTTATGCGGTTGGAAAAAGAAAGGCCTGGAAAATTCAGGCTTGCCAGGAATGCAAGTTGCCTCTTAGAAGGCTTGACTGGTTACCACAGAAACCCTAGAAAAAATAGTTTAAACTTATAACAGTAGGGATGAAGTCTCCAAATTCAACAAAGTCAGCTATAATAATATTAAACTTGTGACACTTGGTTCCGCACAGTGCCTTCAGCCACCCAGTGATGTGACAGTTGCACTTCATGGCACACACATCTTTTAAAGTACTTGTCATATTCTGAAACACGGTTGACGTCTGAGGTGTAAGGACAGCTTGCGTCACTTGAAAGGCATCTTCAGAAAAGGTGCTCACGGCGCATTGTTTGTTAAGAAATTCCATCAAGAGTTTTCTGTCCGCCGTGTTTGGCCAGGGGGAGCAGATTAAATGGGGAGGCCAAAAGCAGGGGTAGGCATCGATCACGCCATAATCGTGATATATAATAATCACTTTTTCTTCATTGCCCCACATTTCTTGTAGCGTCACGTCTGGACCGTCTTCCCCCGGAGCGCGAAATATTTCACTGAATGAAGCGAGTAAAGTGTCGGCTAGCATCTCATGTGCCGCCGGATCCATGTTGTAAAAATGATTAAAGTCCAGAATGACAATTTCTTTAGGATATTTTTCCACGAACCTGTTTATTTCTGCCAAAACTTCTTCGATTGTCCAGCCGTACAGACCGTGAAGAATTCGGATCTGTTTATCCTGGGCTCTGTACGCAACTCGCAGATCCAAATAGCGGATTCCTGACAAAAGCTGTTCGTAGATTGACATAGACTGCGTAACGGACCAACTATGGACTACAGACTTTGCCACTTTTCCGAAAACGCTTCCCAGCATTTGAATCGTGGGAGATTCATCGGGGCCAATCTCCATGTCTTGATCGAGAAAAAATGTAGCGGAGTCATGCGATCCTGGTATCACAAGATCTTTTAAAGGGCATAGTTGTTTCTCATTTGGTAGATTTTCCATCCAGCGCGAATAATCATTGTCCTCCATAGCGCCAACTCTGAGAATTTCGAACGAATCATCGCGGACAGCG